AAAAAAAAAAAAATTTTTCTTTTTTTTTTTTTTTTTTTTTTTTTTTTTTTTTTCCTTTTAATTTTTCCCTCCTTCCTGTTACATTAACTGAAGATGCACCTAATCTTAAGGCAGCTTCTAAGTTGACGAATTGTTATCCGATACAGTTGATTCATTTTGAATCTATAGACACTTATCTCTTGCCGCATAGGCTCTTTTTTTAAAAAGTGCTTTCACCCAGCACAGACATTGCCATTAGTAGTGTCAAACAAGAAGTTAGTGTCTTCATTTATATATGTGTATTTATCATTATTGGTCTGACAATGTTGGATGCCTTTCAAGTAACTATGGAGAGGTAATGAATAAATAGGATGCGGATCCTGGCCGGAGGGTGCATGTTTGATTGCTTTTTTTTTTCCCCCTTGCAGTTTAGGCTTATTAAGGCTTGAGCCCTTTATAGCCTTGTACCCTCCTTGACTTATATATTCATTGTTTAGTGAACTCCTCCACCTTGTCAATGCTAGTTATGTTTCTACTACATTGATGGGTACGAGGAGCACACATTATGCTTAAAGCACTTCTGTTTAAGAAGATATTTTCTTTCTCTAGATCTGATATTTACCATATTATTAACAATTCTACTTTCATATTAGTAGCACATGCAAATCTCTTGCAGTGTGGTTAGACGTGTTAAAGTACAATATAATTGCGAACCACCTGCAAACAAAGTTAAAAGTTGCCTACGTCACTTCAGTTCAGTAATTATGTGCGCACACGTAAATACAAAACCGTTTTTAAGTATAATCAATAACCTTTCTGTTCTGTGGTTGGTAGTGTTTCATACATTTTTATATTTTGTATAGTGATTACATGCCTTTATATTTTTCCTTTATAAATCAGCAGCTGTTAAGTAGTTGGTAGCTCTTTCCTTTCCAATTTTGGTGCATGAGTTTGTGATCTAATAAAACAAGAATTGACATTGCCAACATTGCAGCTTCAACTCCAAACTTGTTATTCAAATAAATATTTAATTTTTTTTATTGCTCTTGTACAACTTTGCGTGGTTTTTCTTTTCTTGCTGCTTCGACAACCTGGAGTTTTCCGATGTCTGCATCTGGTACTGTGCTTACTAGAAGGTAACTATTTCTATAAATGTCACAATGTAGTGAAAGTGCCGACTTGAAATTTTTCCATTACCATTTCTGTATCAGATCTATTTTTGTACAACTCTCGTACTAGAAAAGATCAACTGCTGGACTACCACTTATTGCAGGTTGTTCAGCTGCACAAAGTCCTGCCTTGGGTCCACCTCGCTGACGCGTTTCACCCTATTGTGGATTTAGTTGTAGACAAATTACGGAGCCAGATGACCCCGCTCGGAGCGCAGCACACCGGAGCAGCAGTGACGCGACGCTCGGCGAGGTAAGTAAGAAGACACCTGACGCTGACTCGAGTATAAGCCGAGGGGGGCACTTTTCAGCCAAAAAAATGGGCTGAAAATCTCGGCTTATACTCGAGTATATACGGTAAATAAATGAATGCACCAATACCATTTTTTCCAAATACTGATACTTGTCCAAGTACTTACAGATACAAGTACTGATACATTGTTGTTCAGTGTCATGTGACAGTTTTTCTAAAACAATGCAGACTAATGGTTTCAGGACAGTGGTGGAGCACCAGAGCCAGATCCCAGCTGCAACCGCTACAACCCCGGTAGTTCTCATGAAAATGCCAAGTATTGGCACTGGTGTCAGAACATCCCTAGATGTAAATATATTTTTGTGCTTTGCAGATGTTATGTGGTATTCACTTGTTTAATGATGGACCTGTGGGGGGGAGCATTCATAATTCACATGCATATATTTACATTCAGGATCTTCCAGTATAACGGAAAAAAAGGGCCCAGTTATTTTTTTTCAAACTCAGCTGTGTTTTAGTATGTCATGAGCTTCCAGCTCTCTCTAAAACTAATCTTACCATTACATATTTATGTTGCATCATAAGCTACAATAACAGGATGTGAATGTTGATACTGATGAGCAAGGCATAAGGGTAGGGATGCTACAGAATTGATTTTCATTGACTTGCCAAACCCCTTTTTTTAAAAGAGCATTTTGTTGCAATTAACACTTTGAATAGTGCGAATTTCTTATGTAGTTGCAAGACAGATCGCCATTGGGTTGAATACACTTCCATTGTATAAGATATACTGGGGGGAATTTATCAAAGCAGTTGCGAGTGTTTTAACTTGCACAGAAAATATTTGCACCAGATTTATCAAGCTAGTGTAATGTTGTTGATAAATGAGGTTTAACAAGTGCAGATGAAAACACGTGCAAAAAACATGGGGGGAATTTATCAAAGCAATTGCGAGTGTTTGAACTTGCATGGAATATATTTGCACCAGATTTATCAAGCTAGTGTAATGTTGTTGATAAATTAGGTTTAATAGATTCCAAGAAAGAAGACTTCTAACTTCAGGCAAAAAGCTTAACTGTCGCATCTTGAAGAAGTAGTCATGGGGACTTCTTAAGTGATAAGTGTTTTCTTAGGTGATGCTCCAGTTTCAGACAGCCCAGCACAAGTGCAGATGAAAACACGTGCAAAAAAAACATGCAGTTGAAAAAGTAGTGCAGGCTCTGAAGAAAACACGTGCAGTTGGAAAAGTAGTGCAAGCTCTGAAGAAAACGAGCACATGTTAAAAGACAGATTTGCACATAAAAAAACAAATTATCTAAGAGGCTAAAACTGTCGCCAGTGCTTTGATAAATTCCCCCCACTGTATATATTGTGAAGGGAATTTATCAAAACTGGAGCAGACAAAATCTGGAACAGCTGTGCATGGCACCAAATCAGCTTCTCTCTTTCACTTTCAAATCTTCACTGAACAGAATGAAGACAGAAGCTGATTGGTTGCCTTGCACAGCTGCTCCAGATTTTTGTCTGCCCCATTTTTGATAACTTCTCCCCTTTTATGTCTACTATGTACGCCTGAGGTAAGCAAACATCGGCCCTCCAGCTGTGGTTAAATGACAAATCTCATCATGGATCTGCCTCTGGAAATCATTCCTGTGTCTGTCAGTCTTGCACTGCCTATTGGGATTTATAGCTTCACCACAGCTGGAGGTCCAAAGTTTGGCTCCCCCTGCTATAGACAAAACAAAATGGTTGCCTTCCCAATACTTTTTCCTTGAATTCAGAACCACCTTTTAAATCAAAGGTTTTCTATGCTGTCTCAACTAATATCTCGCTAGCACTCGCTTGCCATCAGGGACAGTGGATAGCGCGGCAAAGTACATGCTACCATATCACCAAACTAGGTCTTATTTTAAAATAGTGCTAGGTCTTTCTTTCGGGGTAGGTCTTATTTTCAGGGAAACATGGTACATGGCCATGCCCTCTGATTTTATAAAAAGCTGCTGGTAAGTGAACGAGTCAAAACTGGCTCTGGATCTTAAAAGATTGTGACGGTAAGTGCCTATTTGGATGAGTCTGATGTACTCCGTGAGGGATCCTATACCTTTTATATAAAAGAAGCATGCAGGAAGTAAAATGGAGTTTTGGTTTCAGCCTGATATAGAGATTGCGTATTCGAAATAATAATGTAGATGGTTCAACAAACTGTTGAAGGGTAGAGATAAATAATGGTGCATTCCAGATAAAATCCTTTTGTAAGTGAAAGAAAAAAAGAATTTACAGGTGTATTTTTAGATAATGGCTGTTGGGCATAGAGGCCCAAAAGCCAGTGGGTGTGGAACGGTACCAGTAGGCAGGTTTGTGGCCAGAAATGGGTGCTACTCCCGCCTGGGGGTCTCAGCTGCCCAGTCACAGTATCCTTCACAGGCTACGGTCAGGTGGCGTTTCGCCATCCTTGTTGGACTCTGATTTTGGTGCGGTTGTGTTCTGCATTGACGCTCCCAGTTTACTGGTGCGATCTGTCCTTCCCAGGGTCTTCTACTGAGTCAGACGGTTTTTTTTTTTAAAAACAGTACTTTGTAGGTTGTCAACTCAAAATGTATTTAAGAACAGAGGTCAAGACATGCCATTTGAGTTACTTATTCAGTTGTGAAAAATAATGTCATTTACATGACGACCATCCTCTTGAATGCAGCTTTCACTCCTTCCCTTAAAATTGTCCATCACACAGGCCAACAGCTGTTGATCAATCGTGAGTACTTCTTGTCGGATGGCATCCTCAGGGATCTCAAGTCTCCCTGATGTTCAGGGAGTCTCCTGCTATTGGATAGCGGCTCCCTGACGTCCGCGAGAGAGGCATTTTCTCCCTGAAAGGGTTACTCTGAGTAAACCTTTCCGGTAAGATATCAGTGGGTAAGGTTTCAGAGTGAGGCTTGCCTCCTGGAGGAAGGTCATGTGATCTCTAGAGTACCCTCAGAACGAGGCTTGTCTCTCGGAAGGAAGAAGCTACATGCTGCACAGAGAGGGTGGACATAGGTCATCTGCTGCAGGGTTGAGAGAGTGCTGTTAACCCTTTGTGGATAATATAGAATCAATTATATGTCCTGGTTGTCTAGTTATAGAGAACATTTATTTCATTTGCTGCCCACAGCAACTAGTCAACTTTGTATCAGGGACTTTTCTCCTCAGTGTTTTTTTAAAAAGGTCTTGGGCTGTCTAATAAATTGTGACCTTTACACTGACAGATACTTGAACATCAATTCACAAATCTGATGTGTATGTATAAATAAATATAATAGCACCTCCCTAAAATGAGACGGGCACCTCCCTGAAATAAGGTTTTGCAGGTTGGGATGTCTGCATCCTTCAATGCATTCAAGTTACGTGGTTTGTGAGTGTACACATGGCTCTTCAGGTACCCCCATAGGGAGAAATCACATGATGACAAGTCAGGAGACCTTGGGGGCCATGGCACATTGCCAAAACGTGAAATGAGGAGCTCAGGGAACATAATTCAAAGAACTTCCATTGGTGCGTTGGCAGTATGCGCTGTGGCACCATCCTGCTGGAAATAAACA